CTTTTTAATATAAATGTCTCAGAGTGAGTTACTGAGACTGTAAGTTCCAGTGAATTGGAAAGGCGTAGAATCTGGGGATTTTATAGCTATTCTCCTCAGTTGATCTCTGTACTTCTACCACACAGCAAAGGAATTTCACCAGAAATTCTAAACTCTGCAACAGGTTATGGATCCCAAACCAGAGAAAAAGACAAATAACTCATAAGTATCTTTGGGCTTTGTTGTTTTTCAGAGTATTTGCATTTTTTTCTTCTCCTCCTCCACCTGATTTTTTAAATCAAAAACACCTCATATCTGGTTGAAGAGGAGCAATTGTTGGGGTTTTCAACCTCCCGAGATTACCAAATAAACTTGCTCAGAAAATGGAAAAGGAAAAATGGAACTTGATCACAGCAAGCCATTTTTTGGGGAAACATCTCTGAATTTCTCTAAATGGGAATAGAGGCCTCCGTTTAAGCTCATAGCTTTAAAGGTGCATGGTTGTTTACAAAGACAATGACCAACAAAAACATAGGCAAAAGCTACAAATGAGGAGTCTATAGGAAAAGCAATAATTTCACAAAACCTCTCTGATGAAGACATGATCTATAGTAAAGGTTCTACCAAAGAGATGCTAGAAGCACTTGAAAGATCCTATGGGTTTTCTATCTCAAAATCAGAGGCAATTTTTATTAGGGAATTTGTACAGCTCCATCTTAACAACAAACAAGATTGTGAGAAGCACATTTCTGCTCTATTGACAATGCCTGACAAATTTAATCTTAACTGGTTTTGAACTGACTGATAGACAGAAAATGGGATTTCTCACAGAGTCACTGGGTGAATGTTTTGATCCACAAGGAGAAGCCTCATGGCAGAGTGTGAAACTGCAGTACTGCATTCAAGACTTTGCTCATGACCTGAATTTAATCCTGATGGGCCCAGGTGGCTGGCTCAAGACTGACTCAGCCTTCTATCCTTCTGATGTCAGTAAACTGAGTATCCAGCTCACTAGGAAGTAGCAATGTGTAGCCTGCATAATTAAATTGTAAAGGTAAAGGTTCCCCTTGACATTTAGTCCAGTCGTGTCCGACTTTAGGGGGCAATGCTCATCCCTGTCTCCAAGCCATAGAGCCAGCATTTGTCCGAAGACAGTTTCCATGGTCACATGGCCAGCGCAACTAGACACAGAACACTGTTATCATTAATGTGTAACGCTGTTACAGTTAAATTGTAAACTGCCCATAAAATGCTTTAAGTGCTGTGGGGCAGTATATACAGTATGTAAAGCTTAAGAGACATTCTCTCTCTCTCTCTCTCTCTAACTTTTTATACCACCCGATTAATGCAGAGCACTATTCTGGAGAGTTAACAATCAATAAGGGCAAATAAAACACAGCAGCACACTTTGCTTTGATGCTTTTGTATCTATCTTATACACACAAGACATAGATAATTTTCCAAGAGTGTTCATGTTGTTTGAGGGAAGAGTGTCTAGACCAAACAGGCTGCCATGAGAACTCAACATAAAGTGGCTGAAATTTCATGATGAGTCTGCAAGGCAATAGGAGGGGCTCACCTCACAGCCAACCACACAACTGCTGGAGCTGTAAGAAAATGGGTCACATGGCAAAGAACTGCCCATTCCCAAGAAATTCCTCAACCAATACAAGACTTGTACTAGTTTTAAATCAAAAGAACAAAGAGATATCAAAAGAATACATGATGCCTGACTCTCACAGAGACACAAAAGGTAAGCATGGGAAGGGGTTTAAACAGAAGGTATGTGTGGCCCATAATTGTGAACAGAAATCAAACTACTGCATTTGACATTGTACACATCAAAAATATTTTTTTATCAAAAAGATCCAGTGGAAATATTCAAGTTACTAATGGGGATTCCATGAAAATTGAAGGGAAAGGGACTGGCATTTTGCAATGTGAACTGCCCAATGAAATAAATATTCCCCCTCAGTGAGCTCTTATAGGTCTACTGTGTAGCAAAAGAGATTTTACCAGAAATTCAAAACTTTGCAACAGGAAATCCAGGAGAGATAAAAGGAAGTGAGTTTTCACACAACTAGAAGTAAACAACAGAATGCTCCACTGAGCATCTTTAAGAGGGGATTAAACAGTATTTTGTTGACTATTAGTCATGAAAGATTTTCCAGAGGGTTATGGCAAAAGCAATAAAATATCTAGCGGTATCTCAGTCTAAGAAGTTTCATTTGACTTGAAATCTATGTGGGCTGTAGTAGCTTGGGTGACAAAGCTAATAACTTGAAAGACTGGAACAAAATTGAAAAGTATCTTGATAGGCTTAAGCACTGGGCTGAAAACAACAGAATGAAAATTAACAGGGATGAGTGCAAAGTTCTCCACCTGGGGGGAAAACATCAAATACACAGTTACAAGATGGGGGATTCTTGGTCAGTTATAGTAGAGGTAAGAAGGATCTTGGAGTTGTTGCAGATCAAAAGCTGACTTTGAGCCAACAGTGCTATGTGACTGCAAAAAAGGCAAATGCTATTTTAGGATGCATTAACAGACATATAGTCTCCAAAACCCATGAGGTACTAGTTACCCTCTATTTGTCACTGACTAGGCTTTATGAAGAGTATTGTGTTGTTCTGGACATCTCACTTCAAGAAGAATGCCCAACAAACTGGAACAAGCTCAGAGGAGGCAACAAAGATGAGCAGGGACCTGGAAACTAGGCCTAATGAGGAAAGACTGAAAGATCTGGACATGTTTAGCCTTGAGAAAAGAAGATTTGGGGGAAATATGATAGCCCTTTTCAAATAGTTAAAAAGGAGGAGTACAAAGGAGGAGCAGGATCTCAATTGTTTAGCCTTGAGAAAAGAAGATTTGGGGAAAATATGATAGCCCTTTTCGAATAGTTAAAAAGGAGGAGTACAGAGGAGGAGCAGGATCTCAATTATATCAGAGTTCAGGACATGTAATAATGGGCTCAAGCAACAGGATGCCAGATTTAGGTTGAATATCAGGAAAAAGTCTTAACATACTGTTAGAGCAGTATGACAATGGAACTAATTGCCTCTAGAGATTGTGAGCACTCCAACACTGCAGGTATTCAAGAGAAAATTGGACAACCATCTGTCAGATCTGCTTTGATTTGGATTCCTGCCTTGAGCAGGGGGTTGGACGTGAGGGCCTTATACACCTTTTGCAACTCAGTTATTCTATGATTCATGTGATGAATGAATGCATTTGATAAATTGAGCTACAGTCAAACCAAACAGAACTTGTCTTCAAGATGCCTCAAGATTCTTACATTGGTCATGACAGCTATATATTCCTCTCTGTCTCAGAGGCAGCATGCAGGAAGGTATTAGTGTGCTTGGGTCTGTGAGAAAAGTTCAATTCCTCTTTTCTGCTTAATACGTATATTTCATTATAATCAATATATATTCTTTTCTTTCAGTCTTTATGCTATAAGAACCTAGCGTAACAAAGCCTCATTCAGAGAAAGAGCTGACTTAAGAGGTGCCCCCGTCTGCTACATAAGAGAACAATAACAGCTTTCCCATGAAGAGCAAGGTAAAAGTCACAGATGTCGCCACCAAATCTAGAAAAGAAACAAGATAAGGAAAAACAGGGGAAATGAAACTTCAAAACTAACCACCTGCCATTTTACATGACACAATAGCAATTTAGAACAGCAACATGAAGGGCGATCGGTACAGTATTCTGAGAACCAGTTTGTTTCAACATTCTTCTGTATATATTGTATTAACAAGATTAGGGGAAGATGTCTCCAGTAACTTCAACATATGTGTCTCTGGGTCTCCCTCAGTCACATGTAATTGTCGAAGCTGAGAATAGTGTTGCTGCTCCAACTGCTCTCAAGCAACAGAACTTCTCAGTCCTATTTCTCAACTTCATTATAATTTGTGCCTTATAAGGTAAACATCTTCTTTCCTATTGTTGGGAAGACATGATTTCAGCTGTATGGGCTCCTCTCACCTCCTTTCTGCAGAAACTGTTGTCTTTCAATAAAACCCTTTCCGATAAAATCCTAATTTCTCTTGTGTTGAGTTGTTGTGATTCTCTCTCTCTACAGGTACCCAGAGGAACTAATTCCTGCCTGAGTAAATTGAACTTGCATTTTTACAACAAGTCCTCTTTGTGAGCTTCTGAGGGACATGTTATTGGCTGATGTGAGAAAGAGAATGCAGGACCACAGAGGTTTTTGATCTTATCCAGTAGAGTTTTACTTACATTTTCATTTCTTAGGGGTTTTCCCCCTTCAGAACATCTGGTGGGGAACATTTACATCATGAACATTTACTCATAAATATATAAATGCTCATTAAACTGGTGACTTAGCAACTAACATTTCTAACTACGTAATAACTGGATACGGAATCGTCTAGCCTTGCAAATTTCACACATTAGTACACCATGAGTTCCAATACAGAAGACATAAAGTTACTGCAAATAATTCTCCACTATACCACAAGCTCCAATACAGAAAACAGAACACTCCTGCAAATAAACACTGTATCAAACCTCACAGCCTTCAAGAGGATGCTCAAAAGAAGGCTGTTTATTGAAGGCTTTGAGAGCATTCTCTCGTAATGTAGCAGGGACCAAATTATTTTACATTGCCTGTTCGCCATCATTTGGTTTTCTATTGATTTTTTGATGGCTGCATTATTTGATTATATATGGCATTTGTCTCTTATTATGATTACATTTGTTTTATTTTATATTGTTTCTCTCTGGGTGTAAACCGCTCAGAATAGTGTTTCCCACTAATCAATGTGATATACAAGTCAATCATTCAGTCCTACCAACTGACAGATGGATGGATAGATGAACGAATGAACAAACAAACAAACAAACAAACTTTCTTCCCAACGTGCTATGACACAACATACAGCAAATTTCATAGAATACATATGGCAGCCTTTGGGAAAAGCACAAAGAACAAAGCCAGGCAGCAGAAGTACAGTATCTCTCAAATTAGCAAGAGTGGAAGCATTCTGAAAAAGTACCTTGATATCCATGTCTGAGTTGACAAATTCCTTCAGACACTCAATGGGGCCCATCAGGAAAGGGCAGTGACTGGCAAAGACCTGTCAAAATCAGAATGCAAGAGGTGAGGAAACAGGGAAGTGGATATGCTTCCTCTTCTTTACTGCCATGCTTTGTGACCTGGCCTCCCCATTCATCAGGGCTGAGCAACTTGTTATCATCCAAATGTTGATGGCCTACAATTCATATTAGCCCTGGCCAGGATAGCTAATGGTCAACGATCATGGGAGCGGCAGTCAAACCATATCTGGAAGGCTGAACACCGAATCTCCCAGTACAATTGCTTCCTCTTCGTCGTCGTCATCTTCTTTTTGTAATAATAAAGTATGAGTATAGTTTTCATCTCAAAAGAATCAAATGGGGGAGGGGGAGGTAGTGTCTGTATGATGATGAGTTTCTTCTAGTGAAGAAAGAAGTGGAAAGAATTTCCAAGGGTGACAGCAGCTCAGTGCAAAAGACCTGTGCATGGGTCTAAAAATTCTACTGAGAATGTTTTCCAGAAGCATAATCATAGACATCACTTGTTAACGTTCAAATCCTTGGTGTATCTCAAATCCTTGAGACTCTGAGATGGGATGAGCAACTTGCGGCCCTCAACCTGTTTATGAACTGCAACTCCATTCTGCCCTAGTCAGGACAGAAAAAAGGTGAAGGATGATGGAAAATGTAGTCCAATAAGACCTACTTCTGGCAGAGGTCCCGTGTCAGTATTATGCATTTCCATCCTGCACATCCATGAAGAAACAAAGAGTAGAAAGGAATGCTTTTGCCTTTGAGTCCTTTGGCTGCGTGTGAACACGGTGTATACCCTGTGCATGCAGTCACTGACCTCTCGAAGGCCCTCCTGGGCCAGGGACCGGAACCACAGGATCTCCCCAATGATGGTCATCCTTTTGAGGACATTTTCTACAGCTGGGAAGAAGATATGGTATGAGTCATTATTTTCACAAAACCTGTGTGGCCTTCCAGGAGCCACAAAACCTTCTACGCATACAGAGCCTGCTGAGTTTAATTTCATTAAGTAGGAGGGTACACAAGCTGTCAGAGACCTGACAGGAGGAAAACTTATTCCATCTGTCCATCCTTCCTTCCTTCTGTCCTCCCTTCCTTCCCTCCCTCCCGGGCTATTTACAACGTCCTAAAATAACACCCAACAGTGGTAGAGTTATAAATGAAAGCAATAGACAATAAAATACTAAAATATGGCACTGGACGAGAGTTTTGTAGATATCCTGGACTGCCGGAAAGATGAACATGAAAGTCCTAGATCAAATAAAGACTGAACTTTCTCTGAAGGTAAAAATGACGTAACTGAGGCTTCTGTATTTTTGGCACATTGTGAGTAAACAAGACTTGCTGGAAAAAAACAATAAAGCTAAGGGGAAAAGAGGAAGACCAAATATGATATAGATTGACTTCATAAAGGAAACCATAGCTTTTGAGTTCATGGAAGCTGAGGATAGCTGTCAAGGGCAGGACATTTTGGGGATCGGCTCATTCATGGGATCAGCATAGGCTGGAGGTGACTTGCAGCACATAAACACAACAGACACAGAGAGAGAGATATATAGATATACACTATGTACATATACAAACATGTACACACACTTGCCTGTTAAGCGAGGCATTAGTGCTGCCATCTGCTCTGGCTGATAGAAGTTCGATCGGATCTGGACAAGAACATCCATATTTTCAGTCACCAGTTTCTAGAAGGAAGGGAATCAGATTAGGCAGATGGTACCCTGACAAGAGAGTCACCTAGCACTGCTATAGCTGCAGGAATGGGATTGTTTGTGGTCAAGAGGCACCTCAACACACTGGCGACCTAGGATGCAGATATGGGGCATGTGGTGACAGAAAAAGGTAAAGAAGGCAGGAACTGAGTCAAGTGAGCATCCAGAGGCAGGAGGCACGTCTTGTCTTCCTAGCAGGCAACCTGAGACAAGAGGAGGGAAGCCCGATGCTACGGAGCACGGAGCCTCCTTATGCTCCCCAGCAGAGAGAAGAGGCTGCTTCCATTGCCCAACCGGCGTGAGAAATCCACAGCCTTAAGGCTGCATCTGGCCCTCACCTTGGTCTCAAGCAGCCAGAGCAATAATGTTTCTTCCCCAGGGGCTCACTATGTGCAGAGGAAAGAAGAAGAGAGAGAGAGACGGTGAGAGCAAAAGGGAGAATCCAGAGAGAGGGGGGGGCTGGGCTCATCTAGTTTGAGCCTTGGGCTCTTCCTGTGCTGGCCTCAGAACCACCCACTGGACAGATCCCCTCCTGAAGGCATGCGACCCTGCTCAGGTCAAGGTGCTCTCAAAGGCAAAGGCCTACTCACAAGTATGATGGAGGGGGAGTAGGTGCAGCTTGAGAAACGGTGAGGGGAGAAAGGCAGGCAGAGGACCTTCCAGGGCTCTCTGAAAGTCAGGGGAAGCAGAAGACAGGGAGACAAGTGTCCCGGGGAAGCAGAGCAATGGAGGCCCACCCATTTGAGCAAAAGGAGTACTGCCCCAGCTCAAGCACGCCCTTGGCCATCTCAGGCCTGCTTGTTTCCTTGCCAGAGAGAAAGAAGGTCAGGACAGTCCCTGTGTTCTTCTCCTGGTGCAGGTAGGCAAGAACGTTTGCTCGCTTGCCAGTCTACCTCCATGGGCATGCATGCGAGTCTGCATGCATGTATGAAGGCATATTTCTACCCGTGTCACCTCTGACTCTGCCCACTTCTGCCATGCCTTCTACTCCATCAGCCAAGCTGGCCCTGGTCAGTGGCCTTCCATTGATTGATTTATTGACTGATGCCAGGTCTTAAAGATTTCCATCACGAGGTGCATGACAGACCACCACACTCCACGGCACACACACACACAAACACACACACACACATCTATTGTGCATCAGCAGTTGCATGGGTGGGTGTTTGCCTCAGTCATGTGCCCCAGATGTGCATGAACTCATGAGGGAAATTCTGCTGGAGCCAGAAGCAAAGCCATTCCCAAACTTGGGGCCCAGATATTTCTTGGACCACAAGTTTTAGAAGTAGCAGGCACCACCACCAGTAGTCAGGATGTCTGGGAGTTGTAGTCCAAGAACATGTGGGGCCCTGATTTTGAGAGCCACTGTGCTAATATACGTGAGCTGAGGTAAGCTTCGATCTGAAAGCTTTAATCTGCACACACACCCTCCCAAGAGGACTCAGCCGTGTCTTTCCTACTACTCAGAATAAGACCAAGAGAAGTTGCAAGGCAGCAAATCCTAGTGGGGGAGGGGCAGCCCACTCCTGCCCTGCCCTCCGTGTGCCCTACCTTGAGTTCCACCATCTGGGAGGTGATGTGCCACATGAGGTTATCACTGAGGAACTTCATTCCATAGGGACCAAGGAGCTGAGCCAGCGCTCGCATCTCTGTACAGGAAGGAAAAGGCATTCACTCATTCATGGGTTCTTCTTAAATTAGAAGGGTAACGTTGAGATGCTAGCAAGGGCTGTAGCATGACCACTCTTTTGATCCCTTTTCTCCCGGGTTCCTTCTTTTGATGACAGAAGCCCACAGCCAGCTAGGGGACCGGAAAAGTGAGCCTGGGCCATTTCCCTCTGTTCCCTGTAGGGCAGCTCAACCACTCACTCCTCTTTTCTGACTGGCTAGAAGAGAAACAAGAGTTCCCCACACACACACACACACACTTATTCTTCCAGCTGCCACTTACTGAGATGAAACGGTGATAGAACAACATGGCCCTGCTGTGCTTACGTCTAACCCAGTGGTTCATAGCTTTTGTGTTCTGGGGCTGCAACTCCCAAAAACCCCAGCTAGCATAGAGAACAACATGGCCCTGCTGTGCTTACGTCTAGCCCAAGTGGTTCATAGCCTTGGTGTTCTGGGGCTGCAACTCCCAGAAACCCCAGCTAGCGTAGCTGGTGGTGAAGGCTTCGGGGAACTGCAGCCCAAGAACAATTGGATTACCAAAGGTGAGAAATTGAGAAATCACTGGTTTGGCCCCATCATTTTCTGAACGACATAACCCAAAATCCAGAGCCTGGGTTTGCTTCTCTCCTCTTCTCCCTCCCTCCCTCCTTCCCTCTCCCTCCCTTCCTTGTGTCCTTTAGATTATAAATCTGAAGAAACTAAGTGGTTTATTTCTGACCTTTGTAAAATGCTTTCAGAGCTCTTTTGGCTTCAAAGAAAGAAACTGAGAAAGACCCGCAGGCTCCTCATTATTATATTAACCACCACTTCCAGGACATTTCACATCAAGGTCACACACACATTTTGGAGCTGATTGTAACACAGCTAAAGCCAGGACATTTCACATCAAGGTCACACACATTTTGGAGCTGACTGTAACACAGCTAAAGACACCCATCAATCACAGTGACAGATAATCTCTCCCCTTATCACAAGAATACACCCACAACCAAAAACACGCTGATCACCATAATCTCCCAATCTCCTGAACAGGACAAAAGCGGACCCCACAGCTATAAACACTCAACTATCCAAGCAAACTGCACCAAAGTACAGACAGAGTTCTGACTCCTGTTCTCTGAAGATGCCAGCCACAGAGACTGGCAAAACATTAAGAAGAACAACAACCTTTAGAACATGGCCAAACAACCCGGAAAACCCACAACAACCATTGGATCCTGGCAGTGAAAGCCTGCGAGAATACAATGCCACTTCATCATTTTTTAAACATCAGCTTTCCCCTGCTCTCCCAACACAGGGGGAGACAGAAGAGAACATGTAAGAGGGTGGGGGTTCCCACCCCCTTTTTTTAACCCTCTAGATTCAGTGTTATGGCACTTGGATGACAAGGAAATTTGGTGACATGTCATTTTAAAAAAATACAGCTTTCCCCTTCTCCCATACAGAGAGAGAGAGAGAGAGAGGAGATGATATGGAGGGAGGCTCTTTCCCCCCCTACTCCTCCTGTTGAGCCTAGCGCTATGTCACTTGAATGACAAGGCAAATCAGCAGCATGTCACCTTTATATATACAGGTATATATATACAGGCATATATACTGGAACAGATTAACGTCGCTATACGGGGCACCACTGTATACCTACCTGCAAAGGGGGACTCAGAATAGGTTGCAGGGGCGTGGAGTTTAAGAGGGAGGAACAGGCTTAAATAGAGTCTCTGAGGTGCAGTGTAGTCTGAAATCCACCCTGCTCTTTGCAAGTGGAAGCAAGGATCAGTCTATAGGTCAGGCCACACTTTTAGGTCAACTTGTTTATCCTGATTCAACTCAAAATAACTTTACTGTCTCACTCTCATTGCTTAAGGATGTTCTTCTCGTCATCACAGGGCTACATCTAACATTCGTTTCTGGCCACAGAACTCGCTTCAGCAGTGTTAGACTTGGTAGTGGATTCAACAGCTTCTCCCAAGCAAGGAGAACAACACCTGGAGGAACCCCCACTCAGCCACTCATCTCAGTTTCTGCCACCAGGTGCCATATTTATGTAAGTCAAGGATCACTATTAGGAGTTATTCCCAGTTGTTCCACAAACTGGGCATCCTAGCCCTTACCCGAGACATCAGAAAACTCTTCAGCACTGAAGATCTGCTCCCCTTCTTTGGGAATGCTGACAAAGGCTTGCATTGCTGGTGAAAGGACAATGGAGCCCATGCTTGCTTGGCGCAGAAGGGACTCCAGATACCTGGGAAGGAGACAACAGAAAACCTATTACAGGTTATACACAGTCAAAGGCACCCTGTCAGGAACTGTTGTAAAAATTTTAACAAAGACGGAATTGTAGAATTCAAACATATCTAGACTTCATCACATAAGTTATAAGTACAAATTGTGGTTGTTCTGTGACTAAAAAAACCTCTCTTCAAATACTCAGATGAACCCTCTTTGAGAAGACCTCAAACATCCAAGGGTTGAAGGTCAAACCAGATGATAAGCTCCATGCATTTAAAAGAGATGCTCTACAAGTGGCAAAAAAAATATTAATAATAATAACAGAGCTATTTGTAATAAGCATCCAGTTTTCCTCACTTGTCTTCCGTTTTTTGTGTGATTAGAGGATAAATACAGGCTTAATTTTCACATTCTGATCACTGAGGCCCTTATCTCTGAGGAAACTTCATCGTGAGAAGGACAACATTTTAAATGCAGGAAAACTGCATGCCCTTCAGCTTCCCATTTAACTTGAATTTTCATATTTAAAGCAGATAGTAAGACCAGGCCTGGTGAGCACTACGACAAAGAATTGGCCTGCCTGCTTAGGATGGTGAGGCGCGCAGAACAAGCCCTGTCCACATCCACACCATTATCAGGCAACAGCACCTACCAGTTGGTGTACAGGGTGGTGAGGGTCTGTTCGCCCGCTGCATCCAGGGACTGAGTCTGCTGCAGAAGCACACTGCGAAGGAGGCGCCCTGTATCCAGCCCCACACGATGGGTCAGTGACATCAGAAATGTGGTATAAGCCTGCACACCCGACAGTACCTCTGAGGGGCGTGCTAACTCTGATGAATTTGGGTTTGGCTTTGCCAGCCTCACCAATGACCTGGGAAGAACGGGAAGAGGGGAAATGAATGGCAGTGGGAAGAACGGCAGCCCAAACTATTGAGAGAGAGAGAGAGAGAAGAAAATTCACAAAAAGAGCAGCACTCCCCATGTTTATCTATGTATTTATGTATCAGAGAACTTGACATCAATAAATCAGTGCCCACCCCTCCAGCCAAAGTTTCCCAACACCAAACTTAAGGTGCTTTCTGACTGATGATACAGTCCAGACCCAGAAATGCAGGTCGTCCTACCCGCCGGCAAATTTGGGACTGAGGTCAGAGATGCACCGTGGTACCTTGCGTTGCAGGCACATGGGATGGGAAAGCAGAGGAAATGGGATCAGCAAGAGAAAAACAGCAGTTCAGTTTTCCATGCAGGCAGCAAAGGTGGCATAAATTTGCATTTTGCTGCCAGCTGGCCAACCAACCCCCCCCCCCAAAAAAAAACCCCACCAAATTCAGGAGTGGAAAGGACTGAATGAAGATGCTTTTAGGAAATGGCTATTATTTTTAAAAACTGCACAGCCCCTCTTCTTTTAGCTCGGTTAAGAAGTCTGTGGGAAGACCAGCTCAGCTCCTCTTCAAGCTTATTAGAATGCTCAAGTGCTCCGCTCTGATCTAGCAAAGCCCAGCTCTGGGACTCTAATCTTTGCAGGTTACATTTACCCATCAATACATAACACACTGCTTTTCTGCTTCTGCTGCACTCCAACTGGTTTGGAACAATGTGGGGCAAGATAACCAAAACAGAGCAGTGTTAGTCACAGCACCTCCATAACAAGAACAAGCTAAAAGAGTTCTCATAACATAAGGAACTTCAAGCGGAGTATTTAATAAAAAAAAACCTTTTAGAGTATCCTAATATCAAAACCAGTCTTTCGTAATTTATGGTGACCAGAAGTGATCACCTAAGAAGTGATGGCAGCAGAACAAGACCTTCCGAGAGCTACAAGAGCACAAGAGATGCTCCTCAGCCCCCAAGGATTACTAAGAAATCAACAGATTTCGTGCCCAATGCCAGCTGCTGAAACTGGTGTGTGAGCCCCAAACAAATGCCATCTGCTACTTTGTAAACAAAAGATGAGCTTTGCTGAACAGAAACAGGGAGAAGTTTTACATTTTCATGTCTTGCAAGAGAGACGGAGGTGCCAGGGTGGAGGTACTGAGCACACAGAGACTTGAAGAAGGCATAACACAGCAGAGGACCACAAGCTGGGGATGAAGAGGATACCTAGCTGCCCTTCATTGTCATGAAGTATGACGGAGAAGTCAATTACAAAGGGGTGGGCTTAGGTCTTGTGTTCTACCACTGGCACAGAGACTTCTTTGGCATCTACTCCAGAGACAACAGCAAACACAAGGCGGGCAAAAAGATGCATGAGCCACACCCGTACCAGCCGAGGACATGAGTAGCTGCTATTTTACCCAGCCAAACAACAAGTGCTTCAAGGAAGATGTGTAGCACATGCATGTGCTGTAGAGGTGGGTCTCGTACCTATGGCTTCTGCTTAGGACTCTGCCAAATGGATCATTTCTTCTCCAAAATCAATCTGATCGGACACTGAAAGCATTGCCATTTTTTCCTAGCTTCAGTTAGAATGTGGACAGACCTCAGGACTTTCTGCTCTCCTTAAAACCAACTAATAGGTAAGGTTTACACGGCAGCAGGAAGAATAGCACTGAACCACCATGCCAAAGCAAAAGAAAAATCCAGCAAAGAAGCTCTTACCAAGTTGATACATTTTTTAAAAAGATTTAGAAAGATATGGGATCTTGACAGTGGAGGCTGGCCTCTCCACCCTTCTGATCTTGCCTGCCTTCCATCTCCAGCCCTCTTCCCTGCTTAAATCCCTTTGCCTAGCACTGCCCCCTTCAGGTGCTTCTGATACGGCACCTTTCGTTCTCCCTTTTTTGTTTTGTTTTTCCAATTTGTGTCTTGGACTTGGAGGGTGCTACCTGCTCCTGCCGCCTCTGGCCATGGGGGTGCCTGCTCAGAGGGAGCAGCTGGCCCCTGGCAGGGAAGCCAGGTTGGCTTGCCTCTGAAAATGGCACCTGTAGTGGGGGCAGCCCCAGGAGCAGATCGGTGGAGGCCATGGGGGCAGTGGAGAAGGCGATAGGTGGGCATCCTCTTTGGCAGAAGCAAATGAAATACCTTAGCGGGGAAAAAAGTTTGCTGTTTTGTTTTGCTTCAGCAAACCGGGATCCCCGAACCAGTCGGGTTTGTGGGGGTGTGTGTTCATTTTGCATCCATCTCTACTTTGCATTGCCTCCCTAGTGTTTCCTGTGCTTTCGTTTTGTGCTGGCCCCTCATCATCCCTTCCTCACCCCACGACTTCTTTCCCCACCTTTTCCTTGTCCGCTCTGGCAGCCTTCCTCTCTTCTGAGGAAGGATAAGAGGAGAGGAGGGAGGTCAAAAGAGACAGTGCTTTCTTCAGGACAACAGGAAACTGTTATTTCAACAGTTCGTTTAGTCGCCAATACGGACACACACGCCCCCGCGTTCATTTGGCCCCAGGCGGGACAAAGAGAAAGGCCCGAACCCTCTGCCTGGAGGAGCCCCAAACCAGCTGCTTCACTTCCCCCGGGGGGGCGCCCCTCCTCGCTTCCTGTACCTGCTGAGGCATGTCTCCAACTGGCTACTGAGATATTCTGCTGGAGTCACGGTGTGCTCAAAAATGACCAAGTGGGAGACTTCGTTGAAGCTCCAGCACAGCTCAGTCAGCATCAGGTGCAGCTTGTCCAGGCTGGAGAAGACAAAAGAAGAAGAAGAAGAACACGCTGACAGTGGGTTGAAGCCATTGATGCGGCTGATGGTTCCTTAAGAGGAAAGAAAAGGGATCAGGCCAGGACTTGGCGACCCTTACCTTCTGATCAGCACTCAGAAAAGTGGCCCTGGAGGACGGCATCTCTCAGAATCCCCCCAGCCCACACTGGCAAGCATTTTTTTATCTATTCTTTTTTAAAAAACAAAAATAAATCAGCCACTTCTCCTACAGATGCCACAGAGCCTGTGACTACTCAGAGCCCACTCCTGTACCACCTCCCCAGGCAAACTAGCCTAAGGTATCATTCACCCAGCTGGGTAAGTCTTACGGCATTCTGCAGAGTTTTCAGTGGAAGAGGATCTTGTGTGTGGATGCTTCTTATCTCTTCCAGGGCTAGGATCATCTATGTGCAGTCAGCATATTTACTACTACAAATGAAGGCCAAAACAACAGCGCACATACGCTCGCTGAGAATGGCTATTTTAAAGGAATGCTGGAACCGCCTTCCTCCCTTGCTATGTTTTTCCATCTGAAATCCTCCTCCCCGTCGGACTCCAAAGCTGTGTCCTGCCTTGCCTGGGGTAGAAAATTTGTCCTTGTATGGTGCTTATCTTCCCCCCACCCCCCATGAGAATCCTGTTCCTGTCAGGATGGGCTACTTCAGTCATTTAAATGGTCTGTGGAAGGGTGGGAGGGTTATACAATGAGTCCTCCAGAACGACTGCGCCAATCAAAATTGGAGTCCTCCTCCTGTGCGGCATTTTAAGTTTAACACACAGACACATCAAAATTAGAAGACAGGATCACAGACCTCCTGCATGTTATCTCTCTGGGGCTCTTAATTATCCACATGCATAGCATTGTTACAGAGCACATTCTGAAATGGCACAGTTGCACTTTTTTGTCCAAACCACCAGACATGCCTTGTGTGTTATTGCTGGACAATTTGACAGTGTACTGCTGCTTAGAACGGAATTGATAGGTAGAGCCCGTGGCCACGCTGGGAATTGTTTTCCCAAGGGGTAACTTTTCCAAGGTTTGAGAGTTCCTCCATGCAGAATATTTATTCTACTGTAAAGCCTGAGATCTGTGTGGATCTTACTGGAATTTTATTTTTTACCACTAAATTAGTGGTTCCCAACCTTGGATAACCCAAGGTGTTCTTGGACTGCAACTCCCAGAAGCCTTCATCACCAGCTATGCTGGCCAGAATTTCTGGGAACTGCAGTCCAAGAACATCACAGTTACTCAAGGTCGGGAATCACTGATTCAGATGGTTTTCTTTCTATCTTGCTCTGCACATCTGTCCGTTTTCACAACTTTCTGCTTTATTTTGTCTCTTCCCAGACCCTTTATTTTTAGACCCCTTCATACAAATGGCAGGTTTTGGGTCAAGGGCACTTGTCAACCATCAATGATATCATTAATAGAGTTTACCAGTTCTAATAAATCCTCCCTTCTGCTCAAACTGCTGCTCTGCTGTGACATGAAGGACTGCTCAGACAGGGCAGTCCCAGAAAGAATCAGCCAGCAAGCTGGCTGATACAGAAAGGTACAGAAAGAAAATTAGAGAGCCTACATGGAAAGCAATGTCTTTGGGACCGTCATGGGCTGTGGATAGTGGCATTTTTACCTCCTCTGCTCCAGTCCTGAAAATTCTATGAACAGGGGTGCTGCGGAGGGTTAAAGCCTCTGGCAGAAGTCAACAACATGTGGTAAGGTAAAGGTAAAGGTTCCCCTTGACAATTTTTGTCCAGTCGTGTCCGACCCTAGGGGGCGGCGCTCATCCCGCTCTTCAAGCCATAGAGCCAGCGTTTGTCCGAAGACAATCTTTCCGTGGTCACATGGCCAGTGTGATTTAGACACGGAACACTGTTTACCTTCCCACCGAGATGGTACCTATTTATCTACTTGCATTTGCATGCTTTCGAACCGCTAGGTTGGCGGGAGCTGGGACAAGCGACGGAGTCGAACACGACTGGACAAAAATTGCAAGGGGAACCTTTACCTTTACAGTGTTTTTAAATCTACTGTGTTATCTGTTGTGAGCTGCCTTGGGTCCTTTATGGGGAGAAAGGCAGCATATGAAGCAGCACAGGCTTCTGCGGTTTAGCCCGCAGCGCCACCACGCTGTGGACTCGCCGGAATAAATCATAAATTTAAATAGCTTTTAAATTCTTTTTAAAGTCTTAATATATGTTTTTTTTTAAATACAATGTTGATACAGTGTTTTTACAGGGATGTGGTGGCGCTGTGGGCTAAACCGCAGAAGCCT